AGCTCCAAGAAGTGCCATCCATGGATATCTGTCTTCTTAAGCCCATCTCCCCCATCTCAGCCTGACCAACTGGCCAAGACCCCCAGCAGCAGCTTCTTTTTTGGGAGGGGAAGCAGCTCAGCCCAGCTGGGGTCAGGATCACCTGGTGTTGGCAGGCTCTGCCCTTGGAGGAAGAGGGAAGTGGCCTTGTCCCCTAGGGGCTCCTGGCTGTGACAGAGGGTCTGGGAGGCTGCCATGGATGCAGCTGGGATGCCACAGGAGCAGAGGTGGTGTGAGGGCAGATCCCCAATGGTCTGGCTCTGCACCGCAGCACTGTAGGTGTCCAGTGGTCTGTCCACACCCATCTGTCACACCAGTGTTACGCTGTCACCTTCCAGACACTCGAGCTGAGGGTAAACGAAGGGCTAGAACTGGAACCCAGTCCTTTCCTCCTGCTGGGCTGCTGGAGCCACACCAGGGCTGCACAGATGGCACTGCTGGAGCCAGCCCTGTCCCTGGTTGCCAGCACCCTGGGGGACACGTGGCCTCCTGCTGCTGCTGGCACTTTTTAGGCTCATCCTGAATTCATTGAAGCTTGTTCTCCCACTTCATTGTATTTTCTACTTGATTGTAGATTTGCCAGGGTTTGCTCCTTCCTCCAGGCCACAAATAAAAAACTTGCACCCGTAGCCGTGATGCTTCTCTCTGCTGCACGAGCACCAGTGCCCTGCCCGGCTGACTGGTCCTGGTGGTCTGAATGGGGCCTGAGGGAGGGGGAGAACCACTGCTCCCACTRGCAGAGCCTTGTGTGGCCCCAGCCMTTGGCTCTGTTGGCACCCCAGTGTTCCAGGCCAGGGTGCTTGGGGACCTGCCACCTGCTCAGCCCCAGTGGCACTGTGAAGGCAGTTACAGCAGCAGAGGTGAGGCAGAAATGCTGAGGGATTTGGTGAGAGGCTCAGCTCTTCAGAGAGATGGGGATGCAGTGCTTGGGCTGGGATCTGGGCAACGTCCTTTGCCCAGGCTCCTGGGAATTGGCTGCAGCCCTAGAATTCTTCCTGGATAACAGGATGTGTTTTGTCTTGGAGAAGGTACTTGTATGATGGGTGTTGGTCCTTGTTGCCCAGCTGCAGCCTTGTCTCTGACAGGCATCCCTATTCCGGGAGGCTCCGTGTTTCCCCTGTCTTGTTTAACTGTCACCAGGTGGCTTAGGCACTGTCAGGGCCATCCTGGCTCTGTGGCCACCACAGGAACAGGGAGCCGAGCTTGGCCATGTGCTTCCAGCACCAGGGGAAGGACAGAGCTCCGAGCCCAGCCTTGGCATGGCCTGGAGCTGCAGGAACCCAGGGAGGGGTGCAGAGCTGCCACTCACAGTGCCAGGCTGGCACTTCCGAAAGGCACCTTGTACCCCTGCCAGCCTCATCCAAACAGGAACCCTGGCTGCTTGGGCTGTCTGGAAACTGGGAATTGTACAGCCCAGGGAATGTTGGAGGGAGTCACTCAGGGAGAGCAGCTCTGCTCCCCTTGTGGGACTGACAGAAGAGCCCACTCCTGCCCTGCTCACCTTTGGGAATGGCTGTGATGAGGAAAAGGATTTGGAGTGGAGGTTTCCCAGCACTGGACTGACGGGACAGGGGTGACATGCTCTCCAGGGATGCTGCTCCACTCTGGCTCTCAGGCTGAGTGTGCTGGGGTATACACTGTGGCCCAACCAGGCTCCTGAGATGTCACGCACATCCATGGCCTGGGCAGTCAGTGGAGCCAGGGAGGCTCTTGCTCATCAAGTTTGCTGCTAATTACTCCCGGGGGCTGTAATTCCACCCGCTTGGCCAACTCATGGGTGTGTTGGTGGGGTCATCCCAGGGTTCCAGCAGAAACTGCCAGTGCACCGAGCCTGCAGGCTGTGAGCCCTAAACTCGGGCATTCATTAATTCATGACACAATCCCAGGTGTGTTCCAGTGCACAATCTTCCCCCCGGAGCAGTTCAGGGGTCCTGGTGCACAGTGCTGTCCTGCAGGGGCTCAGGCATCTCGCAGCACAGTTCATCTTCCCGGCGGGGTTTGGGTATCCCGGAGCCCAGTCCGTACCCGGAGGGGTTTGCGGTTCCGGTGCACGGTTCATATCTGGAGTTGTTGGGCGGTTCCGGTGCACCCCTGAGGGGTTTGGGTCCCGGAGCACGGTTTGGGTTTGGGATCCCGGAGCATGGTTTATCAGCAGGGCACGTTGGGGGTTCCCGTTCACGGTTCGTCCCGGAGCCGTTCGGGGGTCCCCACTGACGGTGCCCCCCCCACCCCGCACCGGTCCCACGTGCTCGGGCTCGGCGTGGCCCCGCCCCTCCCCGCCGGCCCCGCCCCATGTCGCGCGCGCTGGGGAGGGGGCGTGGCCCCGGCACGGGCTCGCGCCGCGGAGGGGCGGGGCGCACCGGCAGGCGAGTGACGTCACCGCCCCGGCTATTGCGGCGGCGGCCGGGCTGGATCTGCCGGTTCCCCGCGGGCGGCCCCGGAGCGGCGGCGCGGCCGGACCGCGGCTTGTTTCTCGGTGCCGCTGCCGCCTCCCCCAACCCCCGGCCACGAGCAGGACCCGCGGCCCCAGCGCTCGGAGCCGCCGCTCCCCGGGCGGGGCGGGACCGGCGGGGCCGCCCCCGGTGTCGGCGGGCGGGGCCGGCGCTCCTCGCACAAAGCCGTGAGTGCCGGGGAGACCGCACCGGCACCGGCACCGCCCCGATGTGAGCGGGGCATGGCCGCGGGGCATGGCCCGGGGCGGGCGGCGGCGGGCGCGGAGCGCCGGCGGTGAAGATGGAGCCGCGTCCGCCTGGGACCGAGCCCCCGCTGCCCCGGGGGCCGGGACCGGGACCCGAGCCGGAGCCGGAGGTGGAACCGGAACCGGAGCCGCAGCGGGACCTGGAACCCGAGCCGGACCTGGATTTGGAACCAGAACCGGAGCTGGCCCTAGAACCGGGGGTGGACCTGGAACCAGAGCCAGAGCTGGACCTAGAACCCAAGCTGGATCTGGAACCGGAGCCGGAGCTGGACCTAGAACCCAAGCTGGATCTGGAACCGGAGCCGGAGCTGGACCTAGAACCCAAGCTGGATCTGGAACCGGAGCCGGAGCTGGAACAGGAGGCGGACCCGGAGCGGGATCCGGAGCTGGACCCGGACCCAGAGCTGGAGCTGGACCTCTGGGCACTTGAGCCCGCCGCTCCCGGCGCGGGGCCGCCGCCCTGGGGCCCGGGGGACGCGGGGGGCAGCCCGGGCCCGGGGGTCCCCGCCGAGCCCCCGCCGGAGGAGGAGCCGCGCCTCCGCCCGGTCTTCGACGCCCTGGACCGGGACGGCGACGGCTTCGTGCGCGTGGAGGAGTTCGTGCAGTTCGCCACGGCCTACGGCGCCGAGCAGGTGAGCGCCGGGCCGGGCATCGCCGCCCTGCCCCGCCGGCCCCCCGGGCCCCCCGGCGCTGCGCACAGGCCGGCGGCGGCTCCGGGCCGGGCGGTGTCACCCCGCGGTGTCCGGTGGCTGCGCCGCCCAAGGGTGATGCTGATGGTGGCTCCTGTCCGGGCTCCGGCCCTTGGAGGGCCGTCAGTGTCCGCAAGGGCAGCGCCGGCCCGGCTGAAGGGCATGGTGGGTCCGAGTGGCTCCCCCGCCCCTCCCGCGCCCAGGGGAACCGGCGCTGCCGTGCTCCCGGTGCCGATCGCTGGGAACAGCATCGTGGCAGGGCCGCGGGAGCCGGCAGCCCCCTCTTTGTTCTCCATCACCGACGCCTCGGGGTCTGGCTGGGCAGCGGGGACACCCCGGGGTGTGGGGCTGCTCTGTGCTCCCCTTGCTGGCTCCTCAATGGCCATGGATCCCCTCCAGGACGGGGAGCATCCCTTCCCGTGGCAGCGGGCTGGAACGAGGCGATCCTGAAGGCCTTTCCCAGCCCAAACCATTCCCTGCTTCCCTGCTGCCTCTCTTATCCGGGGTTTGACAGCCTGAATGTGTATTTTACCCCCGTCCTGCCGCTTTGTGTCCTGGCCAGCCGGTGTTCCCCTGCAGCACATCAGATGCGATGTAATTTGAARCTGCCTGGGCTGACCCAAAATGGAGCGAGCTCCGGCAGCGCTCGCCAGGGGATGGAGATGGGTTTGTTGGGGTTTCACACGCTGGCCTGGKCTGGCATCGCTACCAGGAAAAAAGGATTAATTTTTTTAAGGTGTGCAAGGTATTGCTGTGAAGCTTCCCCGTGCCTGCCCGGGGAATCTGCTCTCGTTCTCTGTCCGTCGGCATTGCGCGGGTATTTAAGTGCCATGACAAAGCAAATCATGTGTGAAGGAGGCTTTTGGTGGAGCTGGGCTTTTTCTCCCTGTCCTCGTGCTAGAAGCACCTCTCAAAGATAAAAYAAATGCATTTATTTTGGAAAAAATAGTCCTGCAAAGTGGAGATGGGGAACTTCTGTGCGCTGCTGGTGAGGGCACTGTGTGTGCAGAGGGTCTCGAGGTGTGAGCACAGGTGCCTGTGCCAGGAGAGAGCCTTSCTTCACAAATCCTCTGATCTGCACWGCYCTGCCGTGCTCCCGGCTCCCTGTGCCACCCTCTGTCCCCCTGCTGTCCCTAGCAGAGGAAGCAGGAGCAGAGGGTTTATGGAGGCTCCTGGACCCTGCACACGGTGCCACCTCCCCAGGGGACTGTTGGCCTTGGTGTCTGTCCCCGAGGCCGTCAGGAATGGGGACAGGCTGGTGGCATGTGTGTGGCAGGGGATGGGCAGGTGGCACAGGGCAGCTCAGCCCGGCAGTGCCTGGTGCTGGCATGGAGATGGTGCCAGGGTTCTGGAGGGGCCACACTGAGCCTGGAGAATGCCCTCAGACCGTGGCCTGGGGTGTGGCTGTGAGCTGTTAAGGTCCCTCCAAAGCTCAGCAGGGTGTCCCCAGAGGTTCTGTGCCCCTGGATGGTGTCTGTCCTTATGGATCCATCTGGGAAGGGGCTCTCTGCAGGCTCTCTGCTCCTTCTTGCTGGGCGTAGCTAATTCTGCTCATGCTGCCAGAAATGAGGCTTTTTAGCCCCATTTCTCTTCAGCAAAAGGCACAGGCAGCTCGTGGTGTGCACCACAACTGGGCACTGCCATGTGAGTGCTGAGTGCTTTGGGGAGGCTGAGGTGGCAATGCCTGAGCAGCAGGTCCTGGGCACTCCAAGGCCTGGCAGGGAAGGAGAAGTGATATGTGTGTGTGCAAGAGGCCTTGGTGTGAGTCTGCAGCCTCAAAAAGCACGAGGACACACAGGGGGAGGAGGAGAAGGGGTTGGTGATGGGGTCTGTAAGCTCCCAGCAGAGTGTGGGATCACAGGGAATGGGAAGGGACCCACAGGGATCACGGATCCAGCCCCTGGCCCTGCCCAGACCCCCCAACAATCCCACCCTGTGCATCCCTGGCAGCGCTGCCCAAACACTCCTGGAGCTGTGGCAGCCTCGGGGCCGGGACCATTCCCTGGGGAGCCTGGGCAGTGCCAGCACCCTCTGGGGACAGAAGAACCTTTCCCTGCTCTCCAGCCTGACCCCTGTGATGTGCAGAGTAATAACGGGAGAAGTTCTGGGGAAGTTTCTTGACCTAATTTTCACGAAGCAGCTGGAACTCGGTCCCAAAGTGGGTCTTTTGGAAAGTGGAGATCCAGCTCAGACGGCAGCTAAAGGGGAGGAACATCGCCAGTGAATAAAACGGTGTTCAGGTGTTGAATGGGACCCTCGAGGTRTAAATAAAGGTTGTGCTACAACCCGAACTGGGATGCTGTGTGAGAGGGGCCGGGCTTTGCCGGCTGCCTGGGTAAGCAGAGATATCACAGCGATCAGCAGGCAGTTAACGAGGAACAAATCCCAACCCTCTCGCTGGAGGTACCTGCTCCCTTTTTTCCTCCCCTCCTTCCTCCTCCCGGTGCTGCCCCSGGGGTGAGTTCACAGCCCTGGAACAAACGGCTCCGTTGAAGCAGCACAGGCAGCGATTCCCGAGGCTGGAGAGGGCGGCAGGGTTACGGAGAGCCCGTGTGTGTGTGTGTTTGTGTGTGCATCCACATGGATGAGGAGCTGGAGAGCAGCAAGTGTTGTCTTTAGCACTCAAACACCAGAGGCATTCATGGGCTGCTGAGCGAGCGCTGTCAGCTCGTTTGGCTGCAACAATTATTAGCTAAATGTCAAAGGGAAGGCACCAGCTGGCGCTTATTCCACAAACACCATGGGATTGTGGATTTCTGCTCGGATGAATTGGGGTTTCTTTTCTCTCCGAGGGGATAAAGAATGGGATTGGGATGGTGTTTTCCTTAAGCAGCTTGGGTTGTTGGAAGGCTTCGTGGGAGAGCTTGGTGGCTGTGGTGCTGGGATGGGGAAGGGACCGAGGCAGAGATAAGGGCAGTTTGGTTTGCTCTGAAGTGGTAACGGATGATAGGGATTGGGGCTCTTGCCAGCACCTGCATCTTCAAAGGTACGAGGGGAGGGTGGTGCTGGGGTGACACCCGGGACAGGGGTGGCCTTGAGCAGGGAATGGTCACCGTGGGAAGGTTATCCCACAGGGAGGATGTTTGTCCAGCAGGGATTGCTTTGCCATTTGAAAAGCTCCCATGGACCTCTGACACGCTCCAAGGACTTGCAAACAAGTGTGGGACAGGAAGGTCCTGAAGACAGCTTGGCTTTCCTTGAGGACAGTCTCACTTTTCATCCAAAACCCCTGGACTGCTCACAAACCCTCTGTGAGGCAGCTGCCAGTGGTGGTGTGTACTTATTGCCCCCTTTCCCTCCTCTTTTTCACTGCAGTTCCCCAGGATCTGGTGCTCCCTCGAGCTCCTGGCTGGGACTGAAGGATTGAGTGAGATTGGCTTAGCAGGGAGGTGGGGWCACACTTGATGCCACTTTTATGTCACCTTGTAAAGCAGGAAGGGTCGTGTCTTTTACAGAACCTGAGGCCATTGTGCAACCATTTTTGGTTTAAGATTTTATTTTAAAATTTGATTTTACGTGTCTTGCCTGCTGTCCTATTGCCCTGTGTCTGGCTGAGGTGACAGARCCCAAGGCTTTTCTGCCTGGATTTATTTCCAGCAGGTCCGAGGAGAATGGATTGCTTGTAAGGCTGAGGACAAGAATCCTGCTGGCACCTTGGGTTGTTTTCCCTTTTTTTTGTTTTGCTCTAACAGACAATTGGAGAAGGAAAAGCCTCTTGCACCACATGATCTCGCTGCCTTGGCTCAATTAAGAGAAATCCCAGAGTCTGTCTAACCCTCTTCCAAATCCTCCTGTTCCAAGAGATCTTCAGCCTTTTTTTTTTCCCTCTTGATGATCAGTTTGAGCTTCATTTCAATGTGATTTGTTTTGCTTTCTTTAACATTTCCATCCCTCTACACCTGTCCTGCCTCCACCCGATCAGCTCATCCTCAGCTGAGCTCTCCATATTCAGTTTTTCATTTTCTCTCCGGGGTTGGTTTAGGAAGGGTTTATCAGGTTTGTTGTACTTTTCTCAGCACTTCCTCAGCCTCTTCCTCCTCAGGTGCCCAGCCTGAGCTGAGAGCTGCAGAACAAATCCCATTTTGGGGCTGGCATGGATCACTGCAGACAGCGGCTGCAGAGAATCCTCAAGCTGATTTTTGGGGTTTTTTTTAATGAAACAGTATGGTTTCTGTGATGAAGTCTGGAGAGTGTCAAACTGCAGCTTTTCCGTGGTTACCCTCCGTGCTGATGCCAGGTGTGCTTTTTGTGCTCCCCTCTGCTGGATCCCTTGGGAATTGTGAGCCTGGACCCAGGGCTTGCTGCTCCCACATCCCCTGGAGATGCTGACATTGTGTCTGATTTTGGATGTCCTCCCTCTTCCCCTTACTTCTCTCCCACTTCCCTATGCAATCTGATAATCTGGATCTCTGTCATGAGAAAACCTCATTTTTTTTTTTTCCTTTTTCCATGGTTCTTACCCAGTTTGAGCACAGGAAGTGCTGGCTTTGTGAAGAGATTGCTAAAATTACCTATCGTGGTTTCACAGACAAGTGAGCTTCAATTGCCTCTGACTGTGTTGCTGCTGCTGTACCTTCCAGAGGCTTTAATTGCTGTTCAACTCCATGGAATATCCTGGCTTGGAAGGATCACTGAGCCCAGCTCCTGGAATTTGGTTCTGCTGTGGAGAGGGGCAGTGGGKGATGCTCTGGGGGTGCAGTAGGTGCCTGTGGACGCCCCTGTGTGCTTTGGAACAGCAGCAGAGCTGAAATATTTTGCTTGTTTTGACCAAGGGCCCAGATTTCCCCCAGAGAAATTCATGGCAGGGAATTTGTGGGTTTTGGGGGATCGGGTGGGAGCTCTTTCCTCGCCTCCTCCCTCCTCTCCTCCCTGTTCAAAGAGCTTTTACCACCATCAATAAATAACAGCTCTGTGTGCTCCAGGAGCTCCAAGACAGGAGTTTT